CCCCCCTAAAACCAAACAAGCAAACCAAAACCAGTTACTTACTCTCAAGTGATGCTGTGATCACTGCATGTGTCTCTGATTTCCATCTTGCTCTCTTTCCCTGGTGCTGAGTTCCTGTCACAAACATGTGAAACTGAAACGATGGGTCTGCATTAATATTTTTATTATTGTTTAAATCATGCCACACTGGGGCTGATTAGTTTAAAAAGCTCAGAAGAAACCTCAGTTGGAGAAAATACTGCATCCCATTCTTTGTCAAAGAGGCAGCTAGTGCTACATGAACTGGGAGACCTATTATAACTGAAATTGTTGGGGCTACCAGGACAAAAAGACAAATCCTAGAGACTGAAAAGCATCCTTTAGAACATGAAACAAGAGTAGTAAGAAAATGAAAATGCGTAATAGTGGCTTTTCAATTATACCCCAGTTAGGAAGAACAATGGCTATTTAAGAATAGTGTATGTAGAGACACTTGGTGTTTGTGGCTATACACACCAAGGGTGTGACTCTCTCCACAGTTCCATGTGTCCAATGAGTGTGCATAGATTCAAAGGGGTGGAAATGAGCTCCTTAGCTGAGGATTATTGATGATTTTACTCTAATCACCCATTAAATCAACAAAGACAGCCTCACACTACCCTCATAGAGCTGATATGGGGGTGGGGGGCAAAACCCCTGTAAAATGTAGTTCGTTTAGATATCCATGAATGTTATGGATGAGGATAGAGAGACTTGGAATGGGCTCTTGGGAAAGCTTCCTGGGGAGGTGACAGCTGAAGAAGCCTTCTGGAGGGAAGGATGTGGGCCAATGTGTGGGAGGAGCCTGGCAAATTCAGAGACCCACAGGAGCTCATGGCCCACAGGAACTTACTGCAGGAAGACAGGTAGGGGAAAATAGGGACCTTGGTGTCATACAACTTCAGAACTCCTGGGAAATCAGGACATCTGAGTGTCTGTGTGAGAAGTGATCCAGAACATAAAGCCAGGGGATAATGGGGGGAGGTGCTGCAGGATTTAGAAATTCTCAAATCCACAGGACTGGTCTCTCCAGAGCACTTAGGGCTTATGGGGTTCCAGTTGAAGGACTGCAATAAGTTCCTTTGTTGACCTCTGGATTGGCTGGGCCTTTGGGAGCCCAGGGGAAATCTCACAGTGGCAGGTTGCAGCCGAGTGAGCAGGGGGTTGTCAAGGGACCAACATCAGGCCTAGGACACTGCGTCACCAGGAGGACATTAGCATGGGTTGTTGCTTGAGCCTGGCAGCTCCCGGGGAGAGCAACCAACCCATCCTGCTTTGCTCCAGAAGATCCTTGTTCCAAAACTGAAAGGCCCACATGCTGGGGATATTCTGGGTCCTGGGGAAAGCAGGAAGGGTTTTGGCCTCCTCCCTGGCTGAATGGGAGCTCATGAGACACTCAGAAGTGTTGCGTCCATGCAGCACTGGAAGCACAAGGGTGTTTCCCCAGAAATTTAGTTCAGTTCATTTTCTCTTGAAATGAGTTGAGTTTTGCCAAATGCATTTGGCAAAACTTCTTTGACAGAAGCAGTAGAATGTCTTTAGATATATTTTATTATCATTTTAGTAAAGTTGAGATAAAGAGCAGAATTAATGATTGGAAAATCTTTGCTACTTAGTTGCATGCAGTATGGGCACATTAGACTGGTGGGAAATTTTTAAAAATCTTTTTTCTTTATAAAGTGATATTTTCATACTGCCAAAAAACATGCAAAGTAGAAATGAGTAAAACTTCACATATATCTTTGTCAACACAGCAAGCTACATACTAATGTGTACATTGTCTTAGTCCATTTGGGTTTCTAGAACTGAATATCATAAATGGGGCTGCTTGTAAACCACAGATGTAGCTGGGTGTGGTGGCACATGCCTGTAATCTCAGCACTTGGGAGGCTGAGGCAGGAGGATCTCAAGTTGGAGGCCAGCCTGGGCTACATAGTGAGTTCAAGGACAGCCTAAACTACATTGCTAGACCTTGTCTCAAAAAAAAAAAAAAAAAAGATAGGCATTTATTTCTTATAGTTCTAGAGCCTGGAAGTTCAAAATCCAGGTGCTGGAGGATTCCACATCTGGTGATGTGCCGTGCCCTCTCATTGTGTCCTTGCATGGTGAAAAGAGGAAAAGATCCCCTCAAGTCTTTTATAAGGGTGATCATCACATTCATGAGGGCTCCACCCTATGATCAAATCACCTCCCACAGTCTGCACTTCCCGATACTATCATAGGATTTCAACATATAAATTTGGTGGGGTCACATTCAGACCATTGTAGTCCTTCAACCATTTTTTTTTTTTTTTGGTACTGGGGATTGAACTCGGGTCTTCAACCATTTTTTTAATAGCAAAACACTTATTGGTATATTTTAGAGATAGATATATAATGATAACACTCATCATAGGGAATTTGCACTTGTACATGGTACATCTTGCCCCTTTTTTCCCATTCTTCCCCTCCCCTTGAGCTCAACCATTCTTTTTGAGACAAGGTCTCACTATGCACTTCAGGATGGCCTTGAACTCACTATGTAGCTGAGGCTGGCCCTGAACTCATAGCAATTCTGCCTCAGCCTCTCAAGTGCTGGAATTACAGGCATGTGCCACCATATATGGCTCAACCATTTTCTTTCTTATAATTTTTTAAGCATAATTTCATTTATAGTGTACACACAATGGTAAATTCTTTTTTACTAACACATTGTAAACATTCTCTCTCTCTTTCTCTGTCTCCTCTTGCTGTGCCTTTGTGATGGGGATGGATGCATCTAGCCAGGGAATATTAGTCATGCAGTCACTTAGTTTTGAGTCCAGATTCCTTGAGTTAACTTTCCAAAATAGTTTGATTTTCTTTTCTTTTTTTGTTGTTGTTGTTTATTACTTGAGACAAGGTCTTGCTATGTAGCCCAGGTTGGCCTTGAACTTGAAGCAGTCTTCTTGCCTCAGCCTCCCTAGTGCTGGGATTACAGGTGTGCACCACCACACACCCTGCTATAGTTTGATTTTCTATGTAGATTTTCTCAGAATTTGCAAATAGAATTACCTGTTTGTGGAACTAGGTGTATGTACCATGGTGGGTAGATAGCCCTGTTCTCTTTAAAAAATGAGTGAATTGCTTTAACTCCTTCCCCTTTGCACATTCAATGTTATGATGGGAAATAAATAGACTAGGAGCATTAGTCAACACATGCTGGGGGTATTTATTAAACAGAGACCTAAAGTTGGCCAGTCAGACCAAAGAGGAAAAGACTAAATAAATGACTCTAGGCAGATGGAAGAATACATGTAAAGACTAGGAGGTAAGCTTCTATAAATTGTGTACCGACATTTAGCTTTTATATTTCATACTTTCATGAGTTGGGTTAGTGTGTGTGACTCTTTTGGGGCCCAGTCATGTCTTGATACAGGGACAACAGATTGTCAACCCACATAGCTGAGGATAAGATCAGAAAGCTTGGCGGGTTCCTTAAACCACACTGTGCCCAATCTGTGTGGCCAAGCAGATCTTCCCAAGCGACACTCGGCTGTTTTGCATGGTTATTCAAGCTGCAGCAACACTTCTTAAATACTATGGTTGACAGTTTAACTACAAGGGGTACTCAAAGATAGGCTCAATGTTTTTGAGATGGAATTTTCTTTAGACAACTGGCCATCAGTATTCTCCCTGTTATTAGAAATGGCCTGGGCTGGGGATTTAGTTCAGTGGTGCCACGCCTGCCTTGCAAGTGCAAGGTCCTGAGTTTGATCCTTGGTACCGAAAAAAACAAAAAAGAAATGGCTTGGTAAGAGTGTACAAGAATGGTTCACACATACTACCCATAATGATTGATTCATGACCTTGCGCTTGCAAGGCAAGTGCAGTGCCTCTGAGCTAAATCCCCAGCCTGATTGTTTTTACCTCTTATTCTGCTTTTTTTTCCATACATGTCACACCTGTGCTCATTTCTATTTAGAATACCAACTTTCTAATTCACATTCTAGACATCATTTGCATATATAACACACACCCAACTATCCACCTATCTCCTTAGGGAAACTCTGGGGCTTCATGCAGAAGACAGTCCAGCACATTTAAACTCAATGTGAATCATCACCAGCCTTTCACTTGAAATCAATCTATGAATGCCACTCAAACAGACATATCCGTTCTGTGCAATCACTTAGCTTTGCTTTGTGGTGTCTCTTAGTGTCCTCTCTGGTCTCCATTGGCCTGGCAATTTATTAGTAACAGTGAATTATTATGGAGTATCTCCCATATGCTAGGCATCGGTCTCAGGGCTTTAAGGGGGTTAATCTAGCTAATCCTCATATCTGTCCTATGAGTTGGAGGCTGTGTTTGTCCCCAAAGTTCACACACAAGTGGACACTGGAGTCAGGGTTCCAACCCTGGTTCCTGGAGCCCATACACTCACCCACTTCCTCTGTGGCCTCTCCTCTCTAGCACTCTAACTATACTCAGCCATCCATAGTCCTCAGATCACCTCTGTGGTGTCTGCCCCGGGGGCCTTCAGTGTGTTTCTCTTGCCTGCCACTCAAACAGCTCTTCCCAGACAATTCCTTCCAGACAGCTGTAGCAGGGGTACACTATGAGGTGAGCAGCGCATGGCACTGTAAGGGACCCCATGCTGGGGGAGCAGCCAGTCACTGACCTCTTCCAAAACAACACACAGGAAAGCCATAGGAATGGTCCTTCCCAATCCAGACTTTTCTTTGAAATATTTACTTAGATAAGCCTGCTAGTAAGACAAGAAAATACATTAAATTTCTGAGTGAGGGCTTGCTTCTGAGAGTCCTTTCCAATTTTGATCTTTAATGTAAAAAAAGAAACAACAAAGGTTAATCTGGAGCTTGGAGTAGAAACAAAAAGAGCCATTTTGTCACTAGACAGGTTGCCAGGCTTCAAGAAAAGGGACCACATGTTAACATGACTTGCATTCCCTCCCACGCCTCCAACATCCATCAGAAATACATACTCAAAGACAGATTCGAAAGTTCTTTTAATGCTTTTTATTGGCAACTTGAGTAAAACCTTAACCACAATCATCAGATATTTAACGGTAGAGAAAAATAAAAATTTTTCTGCAAAGATTTTATTTGCATCTTTTGATATGATCATGTTTTATTACACAGTGCATGCTCAAATAATATTGTTTGATCACAAATAATACTGTGATTCATGTTCATACATAGTGGCTTTTTTTTTAAAGTTATTTTAAGAATCACTATTTTATTCTGAAAAAAAAAGAAAGAAGGAAGAAAAGGAGGAAGGAAAAAGGCCATCACCGAAAAGGCAAAAGACCGCTAGAAGCCACACAGCACCATACTTCTGTGGTACCAGAAACTCACAGCAGCAGACCTTGTTTTGGCCACACAAACCCAACACACCATGCAGATTTAGGAGGCCATATGGAAACCACTTGAAAAGAACACACTGCCACTTATGCAAAACGCTGTGAGGCGGCCCCCCACGTGACAGTAGGGTGTCACCTGATTAGCCACACTGGGTCAGCACAAGGAGCTGGGATTGTCCATGACGCAAATTCAAGCCCTGATTGGGGTCAGGCTCAGTACATCCGCTTTTCTTTGTGAAACCTGGGCTCTCGCTGGTGCCTTTCTTTTCCTGAAACTGCATCCCATCATTTTTGTATGACATTTCGGATCTGGACCAGTCTGACAACCTGGGACTCTATTGGAGCGGCTGGGTTTTCTAACAGGGTAAAGCCACATCAGGCTGTTTGTGGTGATGTGGCAGCCACAGAAACCTGTCTTACCCCAGTGTGGTACCCATGAGGGGAACAGAGGGCAGAATGTTCCTTGGATGGCTGGGAGTCGTGGATACATGGACTAGCTGAGATGGGTAGGGAAGTAGAAATAAATGCCCTTGGAACATGACCTGGAAAGTTCCTGAGTTATCCCTTCTCCACCAGCAAGGACCTGTAACAGCAAGTCTAAAAGGGGAGCCTGGGTACCGATTTCAGAGTTTCCAGGTCTCCAGCTGCAGAAGGGACTCTGTGTGCCAGTGACACACAGTATGACCTCAGCACATTCACCATCTTCTTGGGAAGTCACAGCTCAGTGAGAACAAAAGGCAGTGGTTACACTTTTTCATCTATGAACTGTGCAGCAGAAATGCATTTCACAGTGTCCATTTTTTTTTTTTTTGATGTGTTGCAAACTTGATCACCCTCAAATTCAATGCATGTTAACCTGAGGAATATTCTAGTGTGGTTTACTGTCCTCTGCAAAAAGCTCCATTTACAGGAACCCTCTGGGAGGGGGTGGTGGGCAGGGCGGGGTCTTGCAGCCTGGGGAAGGGAGGGGTGTGGAGAAAGCGTGCACCCTCCTGGGCCTGCGGGAGAGGGTCGAGTGCATTTTCACTTAGCTCTGGAAATGTCCCTCTTTAAGGAGTCTGTTTAATAACCTGCACTTTTGTCAACAATGACTATCATTATGAAATCATGCCTAAAAGTGTCTCATTTACAGCACTTTATCCATTACATTTAGATTGACCATAAACATACTAGCTAAATTCCCAAGCTGCAAAACACACACTTAAAATCAAATCGTAGATTTTGTAATATTTTCAGGAAAACAATTTCTTAATAAAGTTGCAAATAATTAAATGGAATGAAAGCACATTGAGTTTTGCTTTCTTCTCTGTAATTTCCATATTCAACACTCAAATTAGCTTTTGTAATTTCTCACTTAATTGACAAGCTAATTTGTGCATAGTCACTATTTCATAGGCACAGTTTATAAAGATAGAATTCTTGGGGGTAAACAAATACTCTTGACTATTGCCTAGGGCTCTTTGTGCAGAAATGCTATGTGAAAATTTAAATAAGAACATTGCTCTGACAGCCATGAACATAGTTCTGAGGATTCACAGCAGTCAATCTCGCATACTGCTACTGGTGAGAGTCCTCTCAAACTACTGCCCACCTTGCCAGTGGCTTCTGCACAGTACTTGCTGAAGGTAAAATGAAGGAAATTAAACCTGAGAAATTGCTCTATGTCCTGATCCAGCCTGACTTGAATTCAGGCAAGAAAAGCAGTCCATTCAAAACAATGGGTTCATCTTTATTTTGTGCGCTGGTGCTTGTATGATCTTGGGCCTGAAAATGCCTCTTGCTGGTGTCAGATTTGGCTTTGCTGTTTTCTATGGATGCAGTGAAAGGGACCTAGCAACTTCTGTAATTTTGCTTTTGTGATTTTTGGGAAGAACTTGAAGTCTGAGTTTGTGCGTGTACGTCTGTGTGCGCATGCGCAAATTAAGTGTTTGAGAGAAGGAAAAGGGGCAAATGAAGACAGGACGCTGTGCGCTTCCAAGAGGACAGGTGGCCAGACGTGCGCTCCACTGTGCCTGCTACACATCGAACCAGTGGTCGCCCATGCAGGTGCGGTTCCACTCACAGCCGCAGGTCCAGCACCACTCGAGCCTGCACTGGGGCCGTGGACACTTCATGTGCATGCATCCACCTGCAGGGACAAAGGACACAGCGCCATGGTTTGCAGCTAATGCGTGGGAGACACTCATTCCCATGCCAGCTGGCTGGTCTAAAAATCACTTTCTAAGTGAGTGGTCACAAGCAGAGCAAGGGCAGAGAGAACCCGAACCAAGGAGAAAAAGACAGAAAGCACCACAAAATTTTAGAAAGCTCTAAAATGATAACATTCATTAAGAAACCGAGGCACACCCCTTCCCATCAAGACCAAATTCTATTTGCCAATCTGAGTTTGTGTACTTCTCCTAAAATAGAATTTAGAGGCAAATTCTTAATTTTTTGCAGTCAATTCCTTATTTAAATAAATTTAAATATTTATTGAATCCAATACTTTAAATATATTAAATATACTTAATAATTTAGTACATGATAATATATTATGATTAATTTTATAATTTCTATAGTGTAACTTGGCTTAGCAAAATTCATAACACAGGCATTGGGAACATATTTTATTTTTATGGCGAATATGTCCCTTGAATGCTGTTCAAAATTTTATTGAAGAATAGAAGAATGGAAAAGAATTACTAATGTTAGCTCCTCTGTGCATCTCATTTACTCCTCAAAACCACTGTGAGAGCACAGTAACATTACCTTGCGGTAGAATTTTCTCAAGAGGAAGCCGCCTCTTGATCTTCACCAAGACTGATGGGCTTCCTAGGCTACAGCCTGCCTCTTCAGTAGGAAAGATCACTAAAGATCACTAATGTGGGCATTTATTTTGGGATCCTTCACCCTGGGAGCTCTGAGGCTGGTTGCCTTTTCAAAGTATGGTCAGTGGGTTGAGCGTTTTGATCCCATCACCAACAGTCACTGGCTTTGGACTTCCCTGGGGAAGTTGTGTGATGAAGCCGTTCAACAGGAAGATGGTTTTGGGGTTTCCTTCATATAAAGAATATTGCAATTAGCATACTTTTGCCTCAGATGTGTATGTGTGTGTGCATGTTGTGAATTTCAGATTTTTTTAAAGGATAGATTTCTAGAAATATAGCTACTGATTGGACGAGAAATTATAAACCCTTCAACATCTTTTAATATGTATATATTGCCAAAGTGGTTTCCAGAAAAATTATGCTAATTTATGACACCCTTACCAGCTTTGAGGAGTGTCATTAAAGACAGAACAACACAAACACCCAAAATGGAAACCTCCCATGCTACCAGAATGGTGTCTTACCATTTAATTTTCATGTTTTAAATCCTGGTGCAGTGGACCGCTGGCCCCTGATCATCAAGAGCCACCCACAGCCTCCCTGTAAAGGGCCTCACATCTTCTTCTAGCTCCTTGATTCCTACCATCTCTCTTGTATTTCGTTCTTCAAATTATTTTGGGTTTCTCATATAAGAGAAATGATGTGATATTTAACCTTCTTGTCTGATTTATTTCACTTGACATTATGGTTTCAAGATCCATCCATTTTCCTACAAACAATTCAAATTTATTCATCTTTATGGCTGAGTAGTACTCCCAGGAGACCACTGACTCAGAGTTAGGTAGGGATTTGGACTGAGCCTGGCCCACACCTGATGCTCAGGGATGTGTCAGTGTACTCTTGTTGGTGTTAATGATGATTTTTCTAAAACATACCCCTGAAGAAAGCAAGCCGGCAGTGTCCACTGGGGCTTTCTCTCAGCAGCCTTCTGACCAGGGTACAGTTCAGAGATGATGGGAAAAGCTGGGCCTGGAGCTGCATTGTATTTCTTGTCTATGATAATGCTGCTGATTCTGCCTCTACAAGTGTTTCACATCTGGAAAGGGCCCTCTGAGCACTGGTTGTGATAGCTTTAAGCTGGAGGCACAGCCAGGAGGGATGACAGCAAGTGCCCCAGAATGGTTCAAAGTGGCAGGGTCGGGTGAATGAGTTGGCCAAAGGAACACCTTAAGCACAGACTAGTGATGGCAAACTTTTTAGAGACTGAGTGCCAAACTGCAATCCAAAAGTCACTGATTTATCCCTAAGTGCCAACACTGCTATTAAACCTGAATCACGAAGTTTTAGTTTAGAAAAACAATTCTACATTAACATCTTTTGTCCTAAAAGAAAAACACAATAACACGTGTTCACCACCACTGGACTAGAATTTAGTTTCTAATAACACTGCAGAGCTGGAGAGGGTTATGTTGGTGGCCTACAGGGAACCTGATCATGTGGTACAGACTTCAGAGCAGGGAAAGTCTCCAGGGAGAAAGGAAAGACCTCAGTCACCACTGAGAAGCCACATGTCCTAAACCATGTTCAATGTCTTGATCCTGCTTTCTACCTTTGTTCTCTTCCCAGCCACATAAACACTAATTGTCGGCTTGACATGGCCATGGAGCTCACTCATTCCATATTTTCGTATGCCCAGGGCCATAGGGAAGATGGGCAGCATTTACTGAGGGCTTATTTCACCTACCAGGCCCTTTGTAGACATTATCTCATTTAATCTCAGGTAGAGTCTTCACCCTGACTGTGAAAGGCACACAGACAGCCCCATGTCCCGGAGAAAAGGGCAGATGGATAGAGATGAGGATAGGCTTAAGCGGATAAGAGAAAAGGAGATATGACAGTGGTGCAAGGCAGTCCAGACCCTGTGCTCCCTCAGATCACAGTGCAGCCCACTCAAGAAACCCACTGGGCCAGGGAGATATAAGGGACAGGAACACAAAAGGGGCCTCATTCCCTTGCAGCCTCCCCAAAGTTAAAGCAATATGTGGACACAGTGAATGGAAAAGGAGAAGGATCTTGCTCGCAAGTGGAATGTCTAAGGTCTACAGAGTGCAGGGCCGGAGGTGAGAGTGAGTTTGCGTCCCCAAGGGCACCAAAATGCTGTCCTCGGTGGTTCTCAGTGTCTGAAACCAACATGCTAGTGCTGAAGAGCAAGCAAGGAAGAGAAGTGCTGTGTACGCCTGTATATGTCTGTGTCTTGTGAAGGGATGCTCTCCAAAGCAGGGTCCCGGCAACTGCAGCCTCAGAGTCCCCCAGGAGTCCTCGGTGTGAGCTAAAAATGTAGATTCTGGGCTGGGATCGAGGCCCAGGAATCTGCAGTTTAAACAAACACATCTAGGGATTTTCACACATGCATAATTGCACTCCAGGAAGAGGACATGGCAAGAGGGGCCAGGGTGTGCTGGAGCCAAGCCAACTGTCCCGCTTCTCCAGAGTTGAGGCAGGAGGTAAGTGGGGAAGTCTCCAATCTAAGAGCTCTTGAGCCCCAAAGCATTGATGAGGTTAAGTTAATATGACTACATGGGTCAGGAAGGGACAATGGGTCCTTCTAGTGACCTCTTCCCGGTGGTCCAGAGTGGGGTTTAAGGAGAACCATTTGAACATGGACATCAGTGTTTCTAAGTCTGTTGATGCAAAGTCGAACGTACATGTGGCTCTGGGAAGAACTGGACTGTGGTCATTTCATTTAATTCAGAGATTGTTTCCCAGTAGCCATTTCAAATTCTTAAAAGTTAGAGAGGATTTGGCAGAAGGCAAAAAAAAAAAAAAAAAAGTCCATTTCTTTTTTTTTTTTTTTTGGAGACAGGATCTTGCTATAATAGTCCAGGCTGGCCTTGAACTCACTATGTAGCCCAGGCTAGCCTTGAACTAACGGTAATCCTGCTTCAGCCTCCTGTAGTGCTGAGATTATAGGTATGCACCATCATGCTGGGCTAAAAAAGTCCATTTCAAAACCACATTTATGTAAAGACTATTGTAATGATGGAGCCAAGCATCAAAGTAGTGTAAGACATTGACTCCCACACAGTAGGGAGGAAAAACCAAAGCCCAAAGTGAATGCTAGTGTCCAAAGTGGTATTAACAGGTGTGACATGAAAAATAAAATAAAAACAAAGCAAACAGTGAAGAAGTTTCAGGGCCAAAAATTTTGGGAATAGGTTGATTAAATGAAACAGGTTTCTTTACAAATGGAATGGCTTTAGTGCCCTAGTACAAGAGGAGAACGGGGTAGTGACATGGCTTCCTATGGCAGCTTCTGTGAGGGCGAAATACTCTAACCCTGATGCAGCCCTCAGCCTAGCAAGTGCTCTATACCAGCAACTTATTTCTGCTCTACTAGCAACCAGGGAGGGGAATGCAGTGGGGAGTCACCTGCCACTTGGGCTTGATATTGTGGCCTCCCTTGCCTCTGGAGTATCTCTGGACTCTAGAGTCCCATGGAGGGCACTGTGAAATCCTGGGTGGGAAGTTTTCCTAACATTTTTGTTGATGGTGGACAATTAATCATATGCCAAGTGTCTAATATCATTAGTAATAAGGGCAATTTGTGTTTACTGAGTGCTTCTTCTCCGGCAGGCCCTGGACTAAGTCTTGATGAGCATGATGTCCTGTGCTGCTGCCAACCACTGCACCAGTGAGCTTCCTTTACTATCTCTGCATCATAGACCTGAGAGCCAGGCATTTGTTTCCCACAGAAACCACACCAAGAGGCTCCTCCTGTCATCCTTACTCCCAGGGTGCTGGCATTTCAGAATTCCTTTTGTAAAGAACTGGATTTCGTTTTATAGGACCTGGGGCTCAGAAGTGGAGAAACTTGATACTGAAGAACTGAGATTCAAACTCTGCTTGGATGGCCTCAAAGGATGGTCTGTGCTCGACTGACCCTGTATGTCATTGTTAAACCTGCCCAGAATCCTGACTGCTACCACCTGACTGCTAACATTCCCAAGAAGAGCCCAGAACCTCCTCCTTTCCACTCAGCCCACACTCACCATTTTTCTCAACTGGCACACTGCAGCGAGGGCAGGGCTTGGTTGTTTTCTTGATGGTTTCCTTGGAGGCTTCTTCCCAGCGCGCTTGCTCAGCAGCTCTCTCATCCACTCTGTAGGCCTGGATGGACCAAAAGAACAGGGATTTAAATACAAGCCTTTATCATTGGAATCGTAGTTTTCTCAAACAGAGAATTCTTAAAGATGGAAGTGCCTTTAGGCAAAAAAATCATATATCAACTCATTTGACAGGTGTGGACATCTCAGAATATGCATGGGCCACTATGTTTTTGGTACCTGGCATATGCCCATAAGCTAGGAACAGATTGCTCAGTTACATAGCATGTCATCTTTACTCTATGTTTTGCATAACTATAATCAATAAATTCTAGTAGTCCGTTAATATGCAGGCAAGGTGATAAATGCTTATGTATAATTCTTATCAGGTACATCACTGGGTGTGAAGTGAGCATCCTGGCTTTCACTCACTTTAAACAATGGGCCAACATTGGTAAGTAGGAGAATCTGTGTGACTCCCAAACCTTTGCCCTTAAAGTTTATATCTGATTTTCCTTACTTCTTGCACCTGGAAAATGGGGAACACCAAGTGTAGCTACAGGGAAACATGAATAAGAACAAGGAAATGACAGAGGAGCAGTTTCAGGAGTTGGTAACATCCATCGGGAGCTCTAGAGCCATCTACTTGGGTTCAAATCCCAGGCCTACACGGGTAGTTGACGTTGGAAACATTAATTAACCCCTCTGAAAGTTTTCATCTCTTAGATGGAAATAAAAATAAATGCCAAATGCATGAGGAGAATAGGGGATTATGAACTCATGTCTTTAAATTCTCAGAATATCTTATATAATATTATATGATAATATGAATTACTTTAGGATCTATAAAATGGCAATGTCTCAAATATGCCTGCCAACATTACTCACGCCACTGAGGACTAGATTATCCCTTACTCGTACCACCTGCTATGTATTAAATGTGTCCCCTCAAGTTCATGTGTTGAAAACGTAATTTCTAAATTCATATGTTAATGGTACTAGGGTGGTGATTAGGGTTATATGAGGCTATGAGGGTGGGAATCTGTGTGATGGCACTAGTGTCTACCGCCATACCACCCTGAGCACTGCCAATCTCATCCATGATGGCATTAGTGGGTTCATAAGAAGAGAGATAGCCAAGCTAGCATGCTTGCTCTGTCTTGCCATGTGATGCCTTCATTAAATTACAATGCAGAAAGAAGACCCTCACCAGATGCTGAGAAGATGTGCGTGCCACGCTCTTGGAGTTCCCAGACTCCAGAACCGTGACACAAATAACTGTCTATTGTTTATTAATTGCTGTACCTGGCCTTCAGTATTTCATTAACAGAAAACTGACTAACAGGGGAAGGGATTTTAAAAGAGCCACTTCAGACATTCATCCTGCATCTATCTGCCTAGTAACTCAGACACTGTGATCTCTTCCACTTATTTCAAATATTGGATGACATGTGCAGAGAAAGAACCAGTATATTAGATTAGTACAAGGACCTTGTAACCTAGAAATATATTTCCAAATATTAATTCAACAGAGTCCCTCCATATTAGCCTTTATAGTATTTAAAAGTTTTTTCTATTCTCTAAAATGAATACAAACATGCAAGTTATTTTATTAACTTATGATAATGATTTTAAAATACTCCCAGGGCCACAGAGCAGATCAAACACAGCAATTATGGAAACTGGAAGGAGGACAGTTCCACCCAGAGGTCCTTGCATACAGTTTTCCAGGCCACAGCATGGTGCTTTGAGAGCCAAACTGGCCAGTGAACAGTTTTATAGATGGCAGGAGAGAAGCAAGAGGGATGGGACTGGCTACACTTGGAAGCTCCCACCTCAGCAAAGAGCCATCCTCCCATCTTCACAGTGAGGCCCTGGTAACATGTGGAATCTAGAGGACAGAATCCTTCACTCCTGACAAAAATCCAACTTTTATCATTTCATCTTCACATTCTAAGCTCTTTTGAAATGTTAAAGTTTCTTAGTCTTTATGAATGAAACACTATGAGGAAAATAATTGTGCTTATATATAGGTTGCAGCATTTAACAGTTCTTAAAAGAATTGGTATTTATGTTTCTGTTATTTCCAAGAGAAAGTGAATTCTTTCTGGGCCAAGGCCACATTTGAGTCATCTTCATATTTTCAATGTCTGGTATGGTGCCTGGTGTACAGTAGACACTCACTAAATTTTAGCTGAGTAAATTAATAAATCAGTGATATACTCCAGGAGGGCACTAAACTGACAGTCACCTGGAACAGGCCCCAGGGGACAGGCAGGCAGGTGGGTAGATCCCTGAGGGTGGTGGTGGGACTTACCGAGGGCTGGTCACTAGGGGAAACCAATTTCATTTCAGTTAATTCCATCACATTCGTAGCTATGTGACTCAAAGAGTGCTATGTGATTTGTATTAGAATGAAGTAGAATCAGTTTAGCTGCTAAAAAGCAACCACAATCACAGAAAATTTTGGCTCTGGGACATCCTAAGGGTGAGAGCCCAGTGAGAAGGCTGTGGTTAATGAGTTAGTATCTTGGCAGTGATCTTAACTACATGGCTTCCAGTCATCTCAGATGCAGTGGTTCTAATGCTTAGAGATGGGTATGAAATACCCCCCACCAAAACATGCTGCAAACCTACCCCAAACTTTTCTTTTGAAAAGCCAGGAGTTTGTTCAATGGTTTAAAATTGCTTATTGGTGGCAAGTCATACAGATTAGAGAAAAAACAATTGTATTTATTTAGTAGATTTTTTTTTTTTGGTACCAGAGATCGAACTCGGGACCTTGTTGTGTGGCAGGCGCTGGAACCACTGAGCTAAATTCCCAGCCCAACAACTGTATTTATTAAAAAATGATTTCAGAATGCTGCTCTCCAGCACCATGGCACATGACATACTAAATAAGTGTGATTTCCCCTACTTCACACACCTAAAAACACTGGGTGAACTGCAGAGGGGAAAAAAAAGTATTTATTTATTTTTAAATGTATGGGTGTCCTGGTGAGAAAGTAAGAGAAATAGCTAAAGGCCAGAATAAGAAAGAGAAAGTGCTTCGGGTGTTTACAGTGGGGTTATTTTTCTAGTCAAGGCTGCCCAATGGATAGGTCCTCCATGGCCCAGAGAACAGAGGCAGAAACACAAAGCCGGAGCCCCAGCAGGGTAGCAGGTAGAGTCTGGTGTTGCTTTACTTGTGACCTGGGCTCTGGGGGTGGGAAAACCTCACCTGAGGAATTCAGGAAGAAGTTTTACCCAAAAAAGAAGCTTCATGAAGAATGGATACAAACAGATGCCCATCTTAGGCTTGGTTTGTTCCATGGTGGGGCTGGCTGGGAGAAGATTTTTTCTCCAAAAATTATGAACCAGCAAACCTCAGATGAAGTTTGTGAAAAGAACTCATACTATTCTGCTTAGCCTAAAAATTATGCAAACCAAAAGGTTAATTTGAAAGCTGGGTGTGGAAGCAGGAACCTATAATCACAGCTATTCAGGAGGCTGAGGCAGGAGGATTGAAAGTTTGTTGCTAGTTTAGGCAATTTAGGAAGACTATGTCTCAGAATAAAATAAAAGGGGCTGGGGGCATAGCTTAGTGGTAGAGTGCCTGCCTAGAATTCATGATACCTTGGTTTAATCCCCAGTACAACAACAAAAAACAGCAAAAGTTTAATTTGAAATATTTCCCAAGTAGGTCAGGTACCCAAGAGCCTGCTTGAAGCAAAAATATCTTCTGTGGAGTAATATATGTTTAAAAAACAAAACCTCAAAGAAGTTACAAAAAATTCCAAGAAACCTGGGATCATAGTAAAAAAATAAAAAACTCATAAAATACAGGAGAAAACTAGACACTGTGTCTAAAAGTAACAGAAATATAAAACTACAAAATCAGACAAGCTACGGTTTTAGACGTTGGGATCCTCAAATATACAGTACAATGTAAATATGTATAACACGTTTACAGAAATAAAAGAAAGTATGGAAAGTATGGTAATGAAATGAGAAACTACCAAAACTAACCAGGAAGATTTAAAAAGTAAACAAATTTTGTTTTGTCTACTTTTTTTCCTGAATATGAAAAACTAGCAATTAAAATGAGAAGCCAGCTGACGAGTTACTCTGTAAATTAGATACAAATGGAGTGAGGACTTGTGAACTGAGAAATGGAAAAAATTCCATTGAATTCAGGTTAGAGAGCAGAGAAATGAAATATATGAAAAGTATATTGAGTGACAGAAGGTAAAGCAAGAAAGTCCAAAATTTCTCTAGTTCTAGAAGAAGATAACAAACAACATGAGGGCCAAATGGTATTTGAAGAAAGAGCAGCAACAAACAAACAAAAAACCAAAACCAAACCAAACCAAAATCCCACATATTATTTACAAAGAAGTCAGAATTATTCTGACAGCTGATCTCCTGTCCATGACGGCCAACAGACAGTGGGATACTACTTTCAAAGCTCTGAAAGAGAACACCAGCCCACTTAGAGTCCCATGTGAGAAGCAAAACTCGTTTTCAAGAATGAGTATGAATAAACCCAGTGTCAGCCATAACAGAGTGTTTCCCATCAGCAAAACTCATGAAAGTGTGATCCAAGCAGGAAAAGCTCAAAAGGAAGATCTGGGTAGAAGACAATGTCAAAGTATGGGTAAATTGAAATGGATCTCAACTGTATAAAACTATAAAAACACACAGTGTAGTAACTATTGTTATTCTCTTATTATTTGGTTATGAAAAAAATTTAAATTTTTTTCATGAAATTAAAAATAATGCTTTGTCATATTAATTATGTAGGTTAATCAGTAAAAGACCTCACTTACATTGTCATTTCACATTATAGTTTTTACAGTTATTCTAAAACATCACTTTTACTCATTACATTTTCCAAAACAATGATATTTATTATACCAGCCACTAGGGCACAGTGCCAATGTGACTGTAATTTACTGTTGGCATTTGCAATGGAACACATTAAATTTTAGTGAGAATCTAATGAAAATATGATTTCATGTTTTTCTGACCCAGGTTAAGGGAACCCTACAGCAGGGTATCACTGGGTACAAAGCATCAATACCA